TTTACGCGCACTCGCGCCCGCGTTAAAACGTCTGAGATGTCGCTGTAGACGCTGTCTGCTGGCATGTCTCATGCCTTTATTTGATGCCCTAGCACTACAGCATGAGAAGCCGAAGGAATGAAAATTATCGCGCTTACCCATTTGGCTTGCGTTTGAGCTCTAGCCTCGTGATGGTCGGATCCATATGTACGCCCCCATCTCACGAAACGAAAGAAGTAGAAGTCGGTCGGAGAGAAGTCAAAAAGCAACTTCTCAACACAAACACAGACGCGGAGGGAAATGAATCGATAACGATAATCATAATTGGCAGTTGCGACGTCTAGAATGGAGTATATGTTGAAAACATGAGGCAGATACAAAAATTACAAACGCGAAGTGTACTGTAGTGATGATGGTGTGAGTCATGATATTGTACAATGATAGCCTTACATGATAAACAAAGCAATGCATAGTTAAATGATGAATGGATGCAGAGTCAAAGGGGAAAGGGCGAACGCCGGTTGGGCGTGCCACCATGACTATGGTTGTCGCAGGCGTTGGCGAGGGTAACGCCGATTTTGGATGGCCATCATGTGCATCTTCATGCGGGGGTCAGGCATTGTGAGCTTCCGCAGACGATCCATGAGGTCCCGAGCAAGAAACACCGTCTCATTCTCCTCTTCATATCGTATTGAAGCGTCTTCCAGCCATTCTAAGACGTTGAAGTCAGACGGGTGCAGTGTCGTCGCTTGTGCAAAGCGGAATATGGTGATGAATTCGTGTTTGAAGATGTTCACGTCGACGGGCATGAAAGCCGAGGCTGGGGTTGCATCGGACACTAGAAACCTGTGAGCATCGGCAACAGACAAAGAGCAGAGTGAGCGTACCCTGCACAAGATGCACTTCGCCCTTCACGCGAGCAAACGCGAAGCAGCCGTCTTTGACAGGGGGTGTGAAAGGCTGCGACATAATAGTATGAGGAGAGGGAGAGGGAGAAAGCGTTGAGCCAGGTATGGCGATGTTATGAAAGGGTTTGGAGTTCAAGTGAAGAGGAGGAACACATTAGCATGCTGGCGCCTTTATACAAGAACGACATGCTCGGACCACGAGGGTAATTTTCAAGCTTATGTTCTCTGCCCAAAATGGATCAGCCATCTTCGATGCGATTAGGCACCGACCTGAGGCTCACCCTGGACCTCCTAATCCCCTTGGCATTTTTTCTTAGACCCATTCGCTCCTAGAGTGGGTCTTGGGCTTTCGTTTAAGCCGCTTCCAGGAATAAAATCCTGGGTAGGTGACAAGAGCAAACCCACACCCACGAGTGACAATAGAATCGAGCGCTAATGAGAACGCCAAATGGCAGTGCTGTTTCACATTTGCATGGAAAAGGGCCTGCCTGTCAAACTTTTTAAACGTTCTATGGTGAGGAGCCGTTCTACAACGATGATGTAGTCCTTGCAGACACAATGACCAGCAATGACCGCACTTTGCAAGGCTAAGTTCTGGTGACGTACCCCACCGGTACCTTGATTTGGAGTGCTCCCATAGGGTGCGCATTAGGGCTCGTTTCTGCTCGTTTCCGAGGACGTTTCGCATCCTTTTCGTTATCTTATCAAGCCGGCACGTCCTCTGTGGGATAGAGTTGCCGCTAGAGGAGGGAAGAGAGTCTGGGTTGGCTAGAACACTGACCACACGACCTGGGCGCGTGCGAACAGTGAATATGATGCAGTACATGAATGAAACAAAGGTACAGGCGCCGGATTCAGCGAATGTGGACTTATTCAAGCGCCTCAAGGCTTGTGATTCACGATGGAAATTTGGATTTGAGTACATTGGCAGAGGATCGCACACAGTGCATTATAAGTCAGCACCTCTTGAAGCCAAGACTTGTGACCCGGAGGTTGGGCGCAGAAATACCTTTGAGTTGGAACGGAAAGAGTTTGTGTCCAAGTTAGGAGGAAAAACTTGCTGTGAGCAGGGTTCGAACTCAGAGCCAAGTCGTGACTCAGCGGCACGTGCACGCAATTTTCAAAATTTGATTTAACCGTCGGGAAGCCAGCAATACGTCTTCTTTACCTCTTCGACCTGCACCGCGACGGTCAAAGACTTCGTCCTTACAGACGAAAGGGATTTCTTCCCTCATTATGATTCCGTCCTTCAGGATACAGGCTGCAAGGGCCAGCGCTGCTGGCTGGCGGCCAATGACCGCGACTGTCCTTCCTGCTATCCGTCACTCGTTTATGCGCGCTGGTGCTGGTTCCAGTGAGTTTCCAACTTCACTTTTTTCAAGCTCATTACTAACAAACTATGAAGCACGCCGTGTCCTGCTCTCTGTGAAGAGAACCTACGCAACAGAGGCGTTCGCCACCGCGGAAGATTTATCGGAAAAATTGCCAGCGCAGAGCTCGGAAGGGGCTGATGACATCTCGGACAGCAAGCCTCTCTTCTCTTCTCTGCAGGGCAAGGTTCACCGCAACACGTTGAAGGCGCTCACTCAGGACCCATTCCAGTACGAGCACATGTCTGTAGTCCAGGCTGAGGTGTTGCCTTTGCTGCCTGAGCTCAGCATGCCCCGGGCAGGCAACCCATCGTCTCGCGACTTGCTCGTCAAGGCGCGCACCGGTACCGGCAAGACAATCGCTTTCCTCGTCCCTGCAATCGAGGCTCGCATTCGTCAATTGGAAGAAGTTGCACCCAACGCGTCGGAAGCTAAGGTCCAACAACAATTCGCTCATGACAACGTCGGTGCTCTTGTTATCTCCCCCACCCGAGAGCTTGCCTCTCAAATCGTCACGGAAGCCCACAAACTCACCAAACATCACCGCGGATTCCATGTCCCCATGATGATCGGTGGATTGGGCAAGTATGAACAGGTTAGGGACTTCAATCGTGGACGCAAGGACATTTTGGTCGCAACTCCGGGTCGTCTCAAGGATATGCTGCAAGATCCAAACAGTGGTGTCGCCAGAGCGTTGAAAAACACGAAGATGGTACGCATCCACCAGTTCAAGGTGTAAAATATCTGCTAACCATTTTCTTAGTTGATTCTCGACGAAGCCGACACTCTCTTGGACATGGGTTTCCGCGACGACATTGAGGACATCATGCGCTACCTTCCTGACAAGACCATTCGACAAACCCTGCTTTTCTCCGCCACCGTGTCCGATGCGATCCAGCAAATTTCAAATCGCCATTTGTCAGAGAACCACAAGTTTGTCAACTGCGTCTCGCAGGATACCTCGGAGGTCCACGACCATATTCCCCAGTACCACACCATCGTCTCCAACCCCAAGTATCAACTGCCCCATTTGTTGCGTTTGGTTTTCCAGGACCAGCTTGAGCACGGCGAGAAGTCGAAGGTCATCATCTTCCTCCCCACCACGAAATTGACACAACTTGTCGGCACCCTGTTTTACAGCATGGGTAGAACTGCCCTGCCCAACACGCGCACCACGACATTCGAGATTCATTCCAAGAAGACTATGCCTGCTCGAACCAGGGCCTCCGACGGATTCCGTGCTGCTCGTGGCTCCAGCATCTTGGTCACTTCCGACGTTTCTGCTCGCGGTGTTGACTACCCAGGTGTCACTCGTGTCATCCAACTTGGCCTTCCCTCCCAACCCCAGCAGTACGTCCATCGTATTGGCCGAACAGGCCGAGGTGGTAGCACAATTGGACGTGGCGATCTTGTCCTCCACCCGTGGGAGTACGAGTATGTCAAGCGCAACTTCAGCCATCTCCCTCTCAAACCCCTCACCGTCACCGACCTGCACAATGAGGTCAAAGCCTCCGTCGCCCCCAAGGAAATCGATGCCCGACCCCACCCAGCTTCGCTCAAGCTCGCCGATCTGGAGCAAAACATCATGGAGACCACCTCTCGTCTCGACCCTGCTACCGTTGGTGATACCATGATGTCACTCATCGGTTTCTACGCCAGCATCACCAAGGACCTCCGCATGAGTGTCACTCAACTCGTGGAAGAGCTTGGCAAGTGGACCGTCGAAGGTCTCGGACTCTCGCAGGCACCCTATGTCTCCCAGAGCTTCTTGAACAAGATTGGCGGTGGTGGAAGCCGCGGTCCCCGCGGCTCGTCCGGCGGGTTTGGTCAGAAACGCGAGTGGAGAGATGATAGAGGTTCTTCTGGACCCGGCAGTTCGTCTGAAGGCAAGCCTTGGCTCAACTCTAGATTCAAGCCCAGAGATTCCAGCAGTTTCGGAGAGCGTGAAAACAGGTTCAGGCCTCGCGATGGTGGAGAAGGCGGCTTCAGGCCTCGTGATGGCGGATTCAAGCCTCGTGAAGACCGGGAAGGAGGATTCAAATTCAGGCCCCGTGAAGCTCGGGAAGGAGGATTCAAGCCCCGTGAATTCAGGCCTCGCGAAGACCGGGAAGGGGGATTCAAGCCCAGAGAAGGCGGATTCAGGCCGCGTGAAGATCGGGAGGGAGGATTTAAGCCCAGAGAAGGAGGATTCAGACCTCGTCCTGAAGGCGGATTCAAGCCTCGCGGAAACAGGGAAGGCGGATTTGGCGGCAGGAGCTTCCACGAAGATCGCCAGACTCGTCGACCAGAAGGTCGCGATGATTAGGATGCCTTCGTGTCATACGAATTCCCTACTACTTCCACTTCATCATCCCATATATCATCGCTATCGCTTAGGATGGGATTTGTACAGTATATTTGCTTTCTTTATGCCTAGATCTTATTTAGACTATGGGATTCGACACTGATTTAAAAAGTACTACTTATTATTTGTCGACCGCCGTGTATCATACTCCCTTGGGTGGATCGTTAACGCCTGATATTAGTGTATATAAACTTGATAATTACACACACCCGCTCATACCTTGTTCCAAAAATTTGCGACCGTTGTCTTGTTCTAGACATATTGGATTACCTGCGTAACGGTCTGATGAGCCTAGTCTTAAATTTTGTTCCCCGCCGCATACATTTGGAAAGCGAAAGTCGTGAATGAAAATGTATTGGATCTTCGATGCTTAGGTGGGCAGAATGTGCCAAAGCAAAATGGTTGAACCCAGGATCGAACTGGGGACCTTCTGTGATACACATGATGTGAGACAGAAATCATAACCACTAGACCATTCAACCGATATGAGAACGACTCACCGTTCCCTCCTCGTTCGGAGGGGGGCCAAAGACTCCGAATAGATCTGCGGGCGTCCCGAGGGCCAGCCTGAGCGTCTTCCTCACTCCGAGTGCTCAGTGTCCAAATCCAGACTCCAGAATTTTCCTCGCTGACGCTCACTCAAATAATATGAAGCCGGTCCAAAAGCTTAACCAGTTCTGCCGCAGATTAAAACCCTATCGACGATCCGAGATGTTCTTTTTCGAAAGCCCTCCGTGCAACCGCCAACTTCGGTGTCGCTATTACTAGACAATCTGTCACCGTGTCTGTCGACTTTTGGCAGAATCACCACCTTTTGAAGCAAATTCGAAGCCAGGACGAGTTCTTGGCGGAAAGGTCCCTGATATTTCGTTTGCGACCGATTTGCAGCCCTCTTTTGTACCGAGCGGGCATCGGCCTTCTGCTGTCATCCACTGCCATGACCCACGAAGTTCAGCTCTACTATTGCTCAATATGCGACAGGGATGTAGGCGCTCCTGGCTGGGAAACTCACATCGCAAGTCCACAGCACGCCCGCCATGCCAGTAAACCCCAACCCCAACGGCAACCTGACGCTTATGGCGGGTCTCAGGTCAAGAAGAGCCCTGAAAGTCCTAATATCCCACCGCTGGGAAGATTGGCTCCTCGAGGCTCAACATATTGTGGGCTTTGTACCGTGGAGGTCGACAGGCACTTATGGGCGAGACATGTTGGTAGTCGAGGACATCAAAACCGGGTCGACGATGTGCGAAGGACACTGGACGAGGCTGAAAAGGACAAGAATGGTCTTGCTGTAACCGGGACGCTGGATATTGGCTATATTCACCCCCAGGCCGCAGAGCGGGGTGTCATCCGATATATCTTCGTCCGACCTTCGCTCGAGTCGAGGCTGCTTTTTGAGAGTGGGGAAAGTGATGCAGTGCTTGTTCAAGCTTATTTCGCGTCCATACGTGCTGGACGTTCCTATCGTTCTGGGTACGTGTTCTACCTGTGACAATCAAATAAAGAGGATCTCAACTTTGCTCTCGTATTTAGCTTTAGCGTGAAATGCGCAGATATTCACAAACCGATATCCGTCACTCGACCAGCAACAATCCAATATAACTTCCAGCGTCATTTTCTTGGAAGATACGGCGACCACATAGAAATGATCTTCCAAAACGTACATTCAAAAGAGCGATTCATGATTCGTCGCCGTGTGGATGCCATTGTGGGCGATGAGGATGAACACGACAAGTTGAAGGCATCTGCGCCATACGTACAGCAAGCAAAGCCAGAGCGACAGCCAGAGACCTGCGTGGTCGAAGGTGTTCCGCCGCCGTCTTTGAAGAATCGCGACTATCAAGTAACCATCTCAAGACTACCACAGGCTCCTGTGCCCCACTACATTGCTGCAATTCCACCAGGTGCAACCTTTCGCCAGCAACTTGCGCAGGTCCAAACGTTTCACCCCACCTATTTTGACATCAATACCTACACGACTCACTTCAGAAACCTTCTGTGGTTCGAAGAGCTGATGATGGAGTTCGTTTTTGACTTTATATGCACGTGTATGCGCCCTGCTGAACACTCTTATGCTTTAGAAAAGACCTTGGCCGGTACGATATGATGGACGTGGCCTTGTCCAGATTCAACAATTATTTCTAGTAGGTTCACAATCTCCAGTGTCTACCTGACTGACACCATTCCAGTCTTACCATTCCCGGACTCGCTGAAAAACGCCCCAGCATCCTTGTTGGTTGGTATCACCTACACTTCGACGTAGATCCCTTCTTACCTTTGTTCAGGGGACCGCATCTTGGTACAGAAAAAAGATTCTCCCTCTGGCCATTGGTACGAGGGGCATGTCCATGTTCTTCGCCAGCTGGAAGTAATCTTGGGCTTCCACGCGTCATTCGGTTCCAGCTGGGATGCGAACCAACGCTACAACGTCCGCTTCAAGTTGAACCGTAGTACGCTTCGCCGGCAACATCAAGGACTAGATTTCCCACTCAGGGAGCAGCGCATTCTGTTCCCCACTCCCCGTGACCTCAGGGACATGCCTCGCCAGTTCAGCTCTATGCCCCTTTACAATACCTTGATTGGCAACAATTCCCGTCAACTTGAGGCTGTCATGTTGATCACACATCAACCACCTGGCTCAGCACCCTTCATCGTCTTTGGCCCGTGAGTTCTAGTAACAGTATCTGTTTTGCTGTCGCATTGATCGGATTAGACCAGGAACAGGGAAAACAATTACCATTGTCGAATCCATTCTCCAAGTCCTGCGAAATTACCCAAGGTCATCCATCCTTGCCTGTGCGCCGACAAATTCAGCGGCAGATCTGCTAGCAGAAAGGTTAGCAACAAGCCTCCCCACACATGAACTCTTCCGAATGTACGGCTACTCCCGCTCGGCCACGGACGTTTCACCCAAACTACGTGATTACACCTATGTCCGAAACGGATCCTTCTCCCTGCCACCCCTAACACGATTGAGGGAGTTCCAAGTTGTCGTCTCAACCTCGGTTGCCTCGTCTATGCTCGCTGCGATTGGGATGCCCCTTGGTCATTTCAGCCACATATTTGTGGATGAGGCTGGGCAGGGGTTGGAGACAGAGACGTTGATACCGGTCAAGACTATGGGTACGAGCCGGACAAACGTTATCCTTTCTGGGGATCCAAAGCAGCTCGGGCCTATAGTCAGGTCTGGTGTTGCGAGATATTTTGGTTTGGAGACAAGCTATCTTGAGAGGTTGATGAACAGGGAAGCGTATGATATTGACAAGTACAATGGCTTGAGGTATGCTTCTCTCTCATGTCGTGAAAGAACCCCAGCTGATTGAGAGTATCGTGCAGCGTCGTCAAGTTGACGAAGAACTTCAGATGCCACGACGCAATTCTCAAATTCTCCAATGATCGGTTTTATAATGGGGATCTCATACCTGCTGGGAGCTCCTCGCTCATCGATACATACCTCGAGTGGCAATTCCTGCCGAAACCTGATTTCCCGGTCATTTTCCATGCTGTTTCGGGGAAGGATGATAGGGAGGCATCTTCACCTTCGTTCTTCAATGTGGATGAGGTGCTTCAGGTCAAGTCATACATTCAGAAACTCAAGTCTGATCCTCATATCAGGACAAGTGAGTGTTCTGTCAAACATTAACCGATACCGTGACTAACAGACAACATGCTCGTAGCCGACCATGATATTGGCGTGATAACCCCTTACCATGCGCAGTGCCAGAAGCTACGCACTGCTCTCAGACCTGTAGCAGAAAGCGTCAAGGTTGGCTCCGTTGAGGAGTTTCAAGGACAGGTCAGCATCAACTTCATTTGCTAGCTGTATTACACCGCTCACAGTCGATATCGCTGTAGGAACGCAAAGTGATCATAATCTCGACTGTTCGAAGCAGCAAACAATTCCTCGAGTACGACCTCCACCACACGCTTGGCTTTGTAGCCAATCCTCGTCGCTTCAACGGTCCGTTGCCCTCTCCTCTCCGGCACTTTCTATTTACGACTCACGAGCTCTCATTCACCTGCAGTGGCTGTCACCCGAGCTCAAGCTCTCCTCATTGTGATAGGCGACCCTCAAGTATTAGGTCTTGATCCTCTATGGAGATCGTTTTTGAACTACGTGGACTGTCAAGGGGGGTGGGTTGGACCGGAGATTCCTTGGGACTCGAGTGTGCCCGTGGAGAGTGTGACGCGATACGATGTGGCTGTTCGACAAGCCGCTGAGCTGGATATGAACGAATTCGCGCGACGGGTGGAGAAATTGGCGTTGGAACAAATTGAGGATCCAGATGCCAACGTTGATCGACCGTGGCGGAGGGAGATGGAGTAGGATGAGGTTAGAACTTGGAGGCGTTTTGGTGATTAATTGTACATAGCTTTGTGGTTGTCCATCAAGTATAACTGGTCTGCCTCGAGTCTCGAGACATTTACTCCGCTTAATTTTCGGGGCTTGGAAAGTCATTCAGATGCATTTTATGTTGATAACACTTGAAATGTCTGGTTGTCAGAAGCAACGAGAAATAAAAAGTGGTTCAATCCAGGATCGAACTGGAGACCTTCTGTGTGTAAGACAGAAATCATAACCACTAGACCATTGAACCATTGACAGACTCTAACGCTGATGGGAATCTGGCGCAAAGAAGCAGACTAATGTCTTCCCAAGCGTGAACGTTACTTTGCGCTCTGCCTCTCTCGCCATCGACGTCTACTATACCTGAAGGTGATGATATCAGTAAGTAGTTTCGCTACATCTACATCTTAGCGCTTCAAGTTGCGTTGTGTACAGGTTGATGCAACGCGCGGGCTGATGCATCAGTACAGCAATTATGAGCGGTGACACACGGGCACACAAGCCGTATGGTTATATACCGCTCAATAAGCCTTTTGTATCCCTATTTCACAGGTTGATATGCCCATCTCATGCCTTGCAGATGAGCTCCTGGACCTCACCTTCAAGTACCTTTCGGGAGACAGGGCCTCACTAGTCGCCGCTGCTCTAGTCTCTCGCAACTTCCTGCAAGTGTCTCAGAGGACGCTTTACACGGCCTACAGGATCAAGCTTCCTCTCGAGCAGAGTACGAGGACCACATCCGCTTCGACAAGAGCATTCAAGCAAACACAGCACCCCTCTGGCTTGCCTTTAACAAAGTCGATAGAGAGAAACCCATCAATCGGCCCCTGCATCCGCACGCTGGTCATCGGAACTACCCTACATCAAGGCAGTCAGCTCGACAGCAGTGCTCTGGGGCACTTTCGTCGGGCGCTCTCGTCACTATATGCACAGCTTGTCAATCTCGAGCGGTTGGAGTTTAATGGACCAGAAGGGCGCAACCTCAAGTGGCAAGACTTGCCGACTCGTATGGAGGTTGGTACTCAACGCGTTTACGTTGGTCAGGTGCTGCCCATAACACACCTAGCATTAACCAATGTTACGGATGTTCCGCTGTGGTGGTTCGAGACGTTCACCCGGCTGGATGTGCTGTTA